CACACCCCACTACCTTAAAACAAAGATTACCTGGTATTCAACAAAATTTTTCAATCCAAGAGCTAGATACGGCTTAAATGCTTCCATGTACTTAATAAACTCTGTACCAATAACTGCAAATAAACAGGTAAATGGAATACCAGATATTAATTTAATTAGATGCACATGCCCAAAACCTTCATATAAAAATGCATTGTCAACAGAACCCATCTCAACTAGAAAAGTCTTCACAAAGTGAACACACTAACCATAGAACAATGCACAGATTTGAGTACTGATACATGTCAAAGTTTGAAAAGAATTAGATAAAAACTTTGTCGATTACATACCTTCTACCAATGTACCAACTGCCATGAGGGCATCTTCTTGCACACCACCGGCCCTGCCACTTGAACTGTTAAACATTTGTAATAAAACCGTCATTACAGTGTCTGATATCTGTAACGCATCTTGCAATTCCATCTTTCGAATTACACTCTAGAGTGAAGAATACAAAATATAGTTATTGTTGAGAGAACATGTACTGCCATGTACTGTCTGATCACTGCAAGATCCCACGCAATCCGTGAAATTGAAAGTAAAAACATGACAAACTAAAGTCAAAGTGTCATAGTTGCGTCAAAACTTTTTTTGGCATTTCCACTCAATGTCACATTCCCCTCTCCTGGAAGCTCAGTATTTTGACATTGAACTATATAAAAAGAAATTCAGGTTCATAATCAAATCAGGAGTTTTTCTAGAAAAAAACTGCAAGAGGGAAGACTGCAATTCAGCGGCGCCACTAAGTGGGGGAGATGGGGGTTCTCCCTACTAGGGTGTGGAGTTTTTGATAATTCCAAGTTAAAATGGAGCATTCTATGGCTTCCTTAGGGCCAAAATTACTGTTAGACAGGTCACAGTTAAAGACTGGCCACATGTGATCTCTGGTCATCAGAATTTTATAGTTTACAGAGATCAACTCCCCAGGGTAAGGGAGTGCGTGGCCATGGCATGAGGGTGCTGCACCCCTGTTCCCTTGTTTAAAACAATCCTGCAAATCATTTGTTTTATAACAGCAGACATTCGGTTCGCATCTTTTACACATTAATATCTCGCAGTAATCTGAAAATCGCCTATTCAACTAGTTTTGCATCAATAGAAAAATTACTATTTACTAGCATCTTTTTTTTTTGGAGGGAGGATTTAGCTAATGCGACATCTGAAAAAAACCCACCTGTAGTGTAGCACAAAGTAATGATTGTAGATCGTGGTATTGGTTTTTTTCTGAAGACGACTGTGAAACTAACTGCAAGAGGATAAAACAAGTTTAAAAGATTAATACAAAAGCCAGTGATGTGCATCTGCTCAACAAATTGATCCAACTACAAGAATGCCATCGCAACAATTGGCCCTTCTGAATTTCCTCAAAAAACAAATCCAAAGAGCTTCAAACCCATTCCTCTTGGGGCTACTCGTCTGTAGCAGCTACAACTAGACTCCTACTTGAAGATTTCACATCTTATTGACCATATACACTGTATGGCACTAGGATGTGAATGACTGAATCAACTCGTATCATGTTTACAATGGTTACATGATACAACTTTAACAATGTTAGAATATTCCTTAGAAACCACTTTCTAAAACATTAGTAATCACATCTAATTTATAGGACTAGTCCTCAATCATGACAGGCAATCTAACTTCCTAATTAAAAATAGACTGTCAAAATCACCTACCTCCATTTGTAAGACGCTCTGTATTCGTTCCATGATAATTATTGTAGTTTTCTGTACTATTGTGTAACAGTCCTATAAATAAACAAGAACATTTCATAAAATTATTTTTGGACCAGGCAGTTACTTGTAATCCTTTCCACCAGGTCCAGCAAGTTTTTGTGACGAAAAACATTGGACACATTATGCAATTTTACTTGGTTGGCCGAAATTCATCGATTGAGAAAATTAAGTAATATTACCTTTGGACTGTTTTTCACAAGTTCCATTAACGCTTCATAGGCAGCACTTCTTAAATTACATTGGTGAGCGTCAATTCTGTGATAGAATATAGTTTTAAGCCAAGAGATTTTAATAGCTTTACAGAGTAATATTCACATTGACTGCAAATTTAACAGATTTTGGCAATGTACAATAATATAATGAAAAGACAATCGATGTCATGAGCCTTAACTGTTTAAACTTGTGTGACAGATACAAAGTGGAACCAGTGTATTAGTGCAATTCCTTCTGCTCATAACATATATAATGCATTTCTAGCACAAAAATAACTATTCTTGAATGAGATTATGAAACAAATTCAAGTGCAAACGTGTTACATAATACATGTGTAAATTTTGAACATGCACAGTCCATCCTTGTCAGTAATATGGCTCCGAAAACATTTGTTAACAAGCAGCCTCTCGGCTGAGATAGCTCCGCTGTTAGCAATGCACATTTCAAATTAAAGAACAGAAGATATCATTAGAAAATGAACAATATGCATAGTATCAATGCAATGGGACTTGCGGTTTTCAACAAGAATTCAAAAATATCATTTTTCACCATAAATAATTGTGGTTTTTAACAAGAAGAAAATATCACTTTTTACCAAAAATATTCACCAAAATTAGAGAATTGAAGATATCATTACAAAATGAACAAATCTGAGAGAGGTCTACCCAAGGTACATATACACCAAGTATCAAAGCATTCAGGCTTGTAGTTTTCAAGAAGAAGTCGAATAAGTAAAACATTGACACGGACGACGACGAACAATCACTCGTATGATAAGCTCCGCTCGACAAAGTCAACAGCGGAGCTAACAACAAAATGGCCATCTGTCATTTTGGGAAAAACTGAACTTTTGAGTCCAGCCTAATTTACCAAAACCCAGCCATAGAATCTATAGCATTCTCACAGGGGTTTTATACGATTTGGTCGTCAACTGGATGTACAAGACACTGTTTACAATATACATGCATTCAAGAATGATTACTGTGGAATACTTTATTTTCGCTGGAATTAATTATCGCTGAAAAGGCTTTTTGGGGAGTTTTGCTTTGAATTTATTTTCACTGATTTTTGATGAGATTAATGTAAAATATAGGAAAAAATGTATATTTGCTGGATTTTATTTTCACAGAATCATCCTTTCAGTGAAAATAAATTCCAAACGAAAATAAAGTATTTTACAGTACCTAACATTGATTCCTCAAACATAGAATTTAACCAAATTACACCAAATTAGAAATGTAATTGAGACCTTTACTGATTTAGTTTTTGGTCATTACTTGTTTGTGTTTGGTTGAAAACAGTGGGATCAATTTGTTGTGCATCCAACTAACTAGATGGATCCATGGCAGAGTTGGCAGCGAATGTCTGAAGATGAAAAAAATACTCGTGGATCCAGGGTTTATCAAAACCATATTTACCTATCTGTAGTAGCTAGCAAATTTTGTACAATATTATCAAAAGCTGCACTCAGGCAGTATGTGGGCGGTTCATCAGCGTCCTCTGGAATCGTTGCTGCTTCATACGCAGCCTCTGCTAGACTGGAAATTGCCTGCAAAAATGATTAGAACAAATGAGCAAGCAAGCCTTCTGGACTCAATATCTTAGGATCAAAATGGAAATCCTACAAAACCAAGTTGATTAGGTTGTTGACTGATGACAGGTCTTCAAAAATAAGTTTGTACAAGACTGCATACGACTTCTGAATCTGCAAACGTGCATCCCTGATTTTCTTCTTTTTCAAATTTATTTTGTTTATAAAATGTGAATTTTCTTTTAACAAATTGCAAATCAGGCTTTAAGCCAGCCACTTCTACCTGTTATTCAGACATGAACTAACTACTAACCTGTCAATTTTGAGTGACAATTACCAGTAATAAGTAAATTACAAAATGACTAAAAAATCAACAAAAAGCCTCTTACATGTCTGAGATTACAGACTAGTGACAGCTATTTCTCATTTCAATAAAGTTTTAGACTTTTCATTCCTGGCTATAAACCTGTGGCAAATTCCTCTATTTTTTAAAATGATCATTGGGACCATGTTCTACATATGATACATATAGTGTGAAGGCCAATTAACACTTCCTGAAAATTCACAAGGGTAAAATTTCTTATAAGTAACAACTGCCTTGGAAACTCTATGCAATGTTTAGACTTCACTAAGATGCTGACTTTTGATTGTCCTGTTTTTTTTTTTATGTTCCATTTCACACAAAGAGAGGTCCCGAGACTATGGTTATTCTATTATGGTCTTGTAAACTCTAAGCAATAATCATCACAAGTCAAACAAGAACTTACCCAGCAAACATTGGAAGCAACTCTCGGTTCAGCAGCAAGACCTTCAGCTAACGCTTCCAACAATGGATTTAAATATGCGTCATCAATAACTGCCTCTGGTAGTAATTCACAAATACGTCCTACAGTCCACGCCGTTGTATCTCTTACAACAACGCTCTCATCTTTGAGTAGTTCTATCAGAACAGGCATGGCCTGAACGACTAAAGGTTTTAAAATATTTGGTTCAGGGCCTTCCAGTATGGAGCCTGTAAATAAGCACATGCAGTTTGGAAAGTGTAAAATTGTTTGACAGTCAACATGTGCGCATATATTATAGACAGTAGATGGCAAGCTATGTATTTAAACACCAGGGTCTTCAAATGCTTTTATACACTTGTATGTCACATGTGACAACTGGTTTTGTAGTGTATTTTGCTGTATATGGACACATCTTCAATAGAAGCATATGAACCAAACAAATGTTATTTACAGTATACTGAATCCCCGATTGAAGTTAAATTTTCAAGAGCAATTGATCAAAATGTCTTGGCATCATAAGACAAGCAGCCTCTTTTTAGCTGGAATTAATTTTCGCTGAAAAAGACTTTTGGTGTTTTGCATGGAATTTATTGTCACTGATTTTTGGCGAGTTGAATGTAAAGTATAGGAAAAAGTAATATTCACTGAATCATTGCTTTAGCAAAAATAGCAAAAATTAATTCCAAGCGAAAATAAAGTATTTTACAGTAGTATATTCTTTCATTATACCTACCAAATGCCATAACTGAGGCTTCCCTATAGTGCCAATCAGCATGTTTGATATTGTCTTTGACAAATGGTAAAATATGATGTACAATGTCATCTTCACAGCATGTTGATAACAGCATTAAACACACACCAGCAGCTTTACAAGGATTCCATTCATCGTCATCATCATGCTCTTCCTACAGCAAGATATACATGCAAAATAGAAACATCAGGTGGGATTTTGTTAGCAATGTCTTGATATTTTTTAATCCATTTAATACAGTCACAATGTACTTTGTGGTACCAAATGAACCACAAGATGTTCTAACTACGTTTACGCAAACAGCACCAAAATGAAAAAATTACATTTTGATGATCACTAATTCATTTCCACATGCTATCAGGAAACATCTTGATTTAGCTAATTTTATACTACAAATATTTCACCAGAAGGGCTGTGGCACAATTGCTTAACAATTTACGTCTAGCAGCAAATGATGTTCAGAAACGATAAAGTTATACAGGGTTCGTGTACAGTACAGTATAAATATGTCAAGGAAGAAAAATTCCAAAACTGCAATTCTGAAAGCATTTAATATTTTTTTTCAAGTTTTACTTGCATAGATATATTTAGCCAAGAATCCTATAGTTGTGAAAAATGTCAAAAACTTTGATGAACTTTTTATTTTCTGTAAAACCTTTTTTGTCCAAAACTGCTACTAGGTGATTCCAATGACAAATTTACCAATTAAACTTGGACGCATGCACACAACATGTACAATAGTAGAATAGTCAGTGGGGGGTTGTAAATGTTGCAGTCAAAAAAAGTTAATATGCACCATTCCCACATTCTGCTATATTTAGAAATTTCAAGAACATTTCAGTGGGTACCTAGAAAGACAAACATTTCCCACACAGGAGCAGACCGACTGAGATATAACTCAAAACTCTTCTATTGATGAATATCATTTAGTTAACGTCATTAACATTTCAATATTAGTAATAAATATGTAATATTAAAGGATTTCTTTCCATCTATATTCCCTCAACATGAGAAGTTAGTGATGTTGTTACTCACCTGTTTTGTTAAAGTTTGTAGTAACAATGGTATCAAGTACTGGAGAGCACCCTTAGCATAGAACCTACTACAATGCTCTGGTGGACGACCTTGTTCAGCAGCCTGAAAGAGGTTAGCATAAACTTTGCATCAAGCACCAAAAACAATAGAATTCGCCATCACATAAAAAGCAGTTATCAACACATGTTTGAAAGTTCAAATTTTTCCTTGTAAACTATGTCACCAGCATGAGTTTAAGGTTGTGGAAGTCAAATTCAAATATTTATTTTTGTTTACTTGGACGCTACTGCTACAACCAGAATCTTTCCCTCAAAATCATATAATCCAAAAATAATGCATTAATTTTTGTCCTGTGTAATGCAGGGAGACATTACACACCCACGATAAACCAGTTTACAGCACTGACAAGTTCTACCCAAGAACTAGCCTGACTAGGTCGCCTGAGTTGAGCCTTCGGCGGTGCTTCAAACCCAACACATGCCTGACAGAAAGATGTAGTTTTTCACTTTGCCAACGATTTTTTATCGCCACCAATCAAATTGCAGGAACGTCAGATAGTGACACCCATCAAAGAGAAACCATTCACGATAGAGTTTATTTGTTTGTTGGCATAATGTGTGATAAGAAAACTGATTTTTGCCGACAATGCAAACACGGCTTTGATTGACGATGTTACCATGACCACCAACATGCATATTCATTGCAAGAAGGTTGATTGATCTTGCCGATGAGACGCACACTATTCTGTCAGGCGTTAGTGAGGTCTGATGCCGTTCAGCCGAAGGGGGCCTACTCGCGCCTACATTTCAGGCTACCCAAGAACCAACTACAGCCTTGTTTACCTCAGAAGCTTCAATGGCCAAGTCCATTTCTTCATCACACACTGTGGACCAGAACTCCACACCTTGTAAAGCTACTTCATCTTGATCACTTTTCATGGCTTCTACTGTAATCTAAGATACCAACAATAAAACTGAAGATGAAAAACTTGACAATAAAGCTCAAGTGCTCAATAGCCAGATAATATGTCTGAGTGCATGTTTCACAGACGCTTCAAGAAGACCTACGTATACTACAGCTAAAGTCTCTCAGTAGGATCTTGCATTCCATCAAAATGGAAATCAAACAAAATGGCAACACATCATAAAGTGGAAGCTTAAAGCAAAGGGGTCTTCACCTGCGCACGTGCAGGAATTGAGTCCCAAGAGATGATAACACATGCTAAAAATGCAAAGGCTTATGGGTAGATGCTTGTTTGTAAACAATGACACGCTATGGCCATCCGACGCATGCGCAGGTGACAACTCCCCCACTTTAAACCCTTCAGTGAACAAGGTATAGTGAGAAGATAAGAGCCAAAACAGACTTTCGTTAGCAATACTGCTACAGCATCTGATAACGTGAAGCAATATCATGCGATATACAAATATGAACAGTAATTAACAAGTAAAAGTGGAAATAACAGAGCAGACTTACAGCAAACAGGGCAGGGCCCATATACGTCTCCATATACTGATAGTATAAAGACATGATTTTGACTAAACACTGCAAAGCAGCCACTCTGACCTGGGTATCCGGACACTGAGTTGCCTCACAAACAACCTGCATAATAAAATGACGCTCACCCTGCAGAGAGAAATGTAGTTATTTACTTTTTATATAAACAATTAACTGTTGTATCTATTTCCCTATTGTTGCTGCAATAATATTTTTAAGTTTTCAATCCTGATCACACTATGTTTTGACCTAGTGCTAATTTTTGGACCCGGGTGAAAAAAAACAAAATCTGCAGACGACTGGATGTAGAATATTCAAATCAGGAGAAATTTAGACAATAGATATTTTATAATCTACACTAATAACATTGGATTGGATTTTGTCACAAATTGAAAGCGTTTTTGATCCTATCCTTTGACGAAAAAAGAAACAGAAAAGTGCACCAGATGATGTGTTCGACTTATTACCTGCATGAAGGTAGTAACAGGCTTTGGATTACATTTTAACCTTTTATTGCTTCCTAATATCAATCATACTTTATTTGTATCATATGTGAAAGCTACAGTAGAGAATACACAAATACTACACAGATGTTGATGATAAAATACACTTCCCTATAGATGCGTTATAATCTCTAGACATCACTCTACTTTAGGTTCTAAAATAGGTGTGACGAAATACAGTCAATCAAAAAATTGTCTTCACATGACAAAAATTACTCAGTATATTTAATGTAATATGCATTTATTTATTAACGAAAAGTATTTTCTAGAAGAAGGTTCAAATAAAAATGTATTGCTTAGTAGCAAATAATCACGGTAGTGCAATCCAGTCATGCTGCGTTTTATAAGTGAATAACTCGCTTGTTTTTAAAGTGTTTGATTGTTGATTATTACTTAGTAGTGATTATAGTAACATACAAAAAATAAATTTGTTTGTTATGAAATGCAACTAAAGTTTTGTTTTTTTCTTAATGTTTTATT